CGAACTGGTTGTGCGCTAGCTGTACGAAGCGATAGTCCAGAGAGCGGCGTGGTCACTTTGCGTAGGGTGCGGCAGAGCTGGACGGCTATAACAGAAACGGCAGCACCTGTGTCGACGAGGGCAAAGGTAGAAACACCATCGACAGATATGGCGACGACGTTAGCTGGTGAAGTGCGAGGACTTGAGCATTTTGACGACGGCGCAGTTCTTGCCTCTGGAACTGTGGCGTTCAGTTTTCCCGGTTGGAGGAAGCGGGTCTAGGACGCATTGGGGACAGTGATCGCCTGCGAGGAGATGGGAAGCGGGGAGAGTGAGTCTGAGGTGAGGGCTGGGGTGACCGAGACTCAGGAAGGTTAGTGTATCCATACTGCGGTGATGGATAGGGAGCAGGTATGTGCATGGGCTGTGGGTCATACGGTAACGGCCGAGTAGCGTCGTGGAGTGGTTGCAAGCGACGGCGACAATATCGTGCCACGTGTCCTGGAGTACCGCAGGCGTAGCAGATCGGTCGATTGTCAGGAGTGCGCCAGGAATTGCTGACTCTTGGTGCGGCCCAAGGTGTCGAAAAAGGGGCGGAGTGGGGAGCAACTGAAGACATGGGTGGCAAATGCTGCTGGCGGGGTCTGCTGCGTACCACCTGGGCATACGTTAGAGGCGCGGCACCGGGCTGCATAGCAGGCGCATGGACAACAGGCATGGCCACAGGCTGCTGGTGGGCAGCGGCGGGAACAGCCTGAGCTACCTCTTCGGCAATAGTGTCGCGGAGTGGTGAGGGCAGACGAGAGGACGGCGGCTGCTGCGTGAAGGGAATCAACGACAGTTGCCGAGCTACTTCTTCACGCACGAAGTCTTTAATCTCTTGCAGGGTTGGTGAGTGGTCGGGAACGGAAGTGAGACTGGAGGGCGAGTCGGCGTGTGAGGAAAATGGCCGAGTCAGAAGCGCTGCTTGCTCAACTCGTCGAAACTTTGACACAAAGTGACAAGTTCCGCAACGGTGGCAGGATTACGGGCCAGGAGCAGCTGATATGCACCATCATTTATCCCTTTGAGGATGTGTTGAATCTTCTCCGACTCGGGAATGGTGGCGTTCACACGGTTGCAAAGAGCAATAATGTCTTCGATATAGCTGGTGAAAGATTCCGTTGGCTTTTGTGCGCGAGTCCGCAAGCGTTGTTCGGCTCTGGACTTGCGGACAGCGGGTCGGCCAAAAACGTCAGCAAACAACGTTTTAAAGATGGACCACGTCGTAATGTCGTTTTTGTGGTTGTTATACCACATTTCGGCCACGCCAGTGAGGTAAAAGATGACGTTAGTCAATTTGTCCGCGTCATCCCACTTGTTGTTTGCGCTCACCAGTTCGTAGTTAGCGAACCAGTCTTCCACGTCGGTCTCATCAGCTCCGCTAAAGACCTTGAGCTCTCGCAAACGAAGAACGCCGGGGTTGCTGGGGGATGTAGTGGAAGAGCCAGGTTGCGCGTTGTTGGTAGCCATGATGGGAGGTAGTGTTCGGTTGCGCACCTCCAGCTTCAGGCGACGGCGAATGGCAGCACCCAGGTTCAGGCGACGGGGAATGTCAGCACCCTCCACCAATTGAAAAAGGGTTTATTGGCGACTGTTGCGACGGTGGTTCTACGATAAAACACGATAGGGAATGAGCAACGGTCAAGCAGATGCCGACGATGATCAGCACGAGCCGAGCGAGCGAAGCCCAGGACCCAGTACCCAAGCGGAGGCGATGTTGCTTGCCAACGATGCGCTTTCTTCTTCACAATATATATATATATATATATATATATATATATATATATATATATATATATATATATATATATATTAGAGGAATGACACAAAAAACACCGTCCTTGTTGATTTGTCTGACTTCACTATTTCTTCCTGTAGCCGAGTATGTGCCCATTCCAGAGCCCAGCGGCTCTGTCATCCTTAAATTTGGCCATGACTGCGACGTAGCATGACCAACTGTCCAACCAAACCATCTCTGGTGGGCGTCACCGATCCCGCCGCGGTGGTCTATCTTGCCTACGCTGCGGGCTGTCTTTCCGAGATGCAGAACTTTGGCGGGACCAGCAATGACTTTGACGGGGTGGCCGCCGCAAGTCTTCCTTGCGCAGTGGCTTTCCTTGTCTCACTGCAAAACATTCTGGGGAATGACAAAGGCTGTGTGGCGGCGGTCTACCTGGGCCTCGCAGCGACGTACTTCGGACGTCGGGCAATGAGGGCACCAGTGGGCACCACTAGCTATTTCGAAACGGTCATCACACGCCTATCAGCAGAATACGCTGTCGCTGTTTCGGGCTTAGGTGTAAGCCGTGCTTGCAGATGCTAACGTGCTGGGCAGGCCCGTATTTGCCCAACGAAGCATGCTTGTGAGTCCGCACAGGCTGCGAGACGCGGCCTCCGTGGTATGACGCTGAGGCCTCTGAGCTGCCGTCTGACTCTCCAATTCCATCAAGAAGAAAAGACGCTCTCTGGTGACTCCGTATCACGTTCGTATGAATTGACGCCTCCGGAATCGAACCACATGAGGCAGACGCCAGCGCTGCAGAGAGGCACCATGTTGCCGCTTCCTGCGAGTTGGTCGCCGTCTGACCGATCAGTGTGGTGTTTCCCGATGACGCATGCTACCTGCAGGAGTGCCATACGGCACTGTTGTTGTGCTCGGGTGCACTGCCCATCATCGTCATCAGCGGCGAATGCCAGGCTGGCAGATCCCGACACCACAAGGAAGTGTTGGATAGATGTGTTTTCGGCAGCCATGAACTTGCGTGCAGTTCGAGAACACTCGGCCAAAAGACTGCCGTGGAGTCTGAAGATGTATCTCCTGCTGGTGAATAAGGATGTCGTTTATACAGGACATCTGTGGTTGGGATGCTTCAAAATTATGTTTTGGGTAGTAAATGTCCGGGGTGAGAGCGCAGCGATTTACTACACCTCCATACATGATAAGCTGAACCTCACCAGACAAGAGGTTGTCGCACCCAAAACCATGTCCGCGTGCAATTCTTCGAGGATGGGAACGGCGGCAAAGAACTTGCCCCCGGCGTCGGTTCACAGCTGCAAATCTAATGCGCCAAAAGACAAAGCGCTTGCACTGACGCCTCCCAAGGGTTCCTTGGACGAAATCGGGAGGGTAACTGGGGCATGGCGTCGGTGTAGCGCAGTACGGGCAGCTCCAGTTTTACAACATCCGTGTGGTCTCCGATTCCGTCGACGTGACCTTGTACTGTAGAAAGTGGTCGCGTCGGGGATATAGTAATTCAATGTGGTCCATAGGGTGGATTCACGTCACCGATACTGTCATTGAAACTCGGCGGGAGGTGCTCTTTCTGGACTGGCTGTAAAAACAAGACGAGTTCAGGGTTCGTGTAAGCGATGGATTCCGAACGTCCTCTCGGTGAGCTGTGCTGTTCAGCTGCAGCCTCGAGGATGAGCCCCTCCTAGCTTCATCCTCGGTAGTATTCTGGCTGAGCGCACATGGGCCATGATGAATCCGGCCGAAAACAGCAATGAGCCTTTGCACTTTAATACAGCAAGGTTCGTTGCTTAATCCCCTCGTATTTATGCCATTACAGAAAAAAGGCCCATTGCCAAAGGAGCGTGGATGGGGTCCTTTTGTGTCTCGGAAGAAGTATGAATGTTGCGATCCACGCATTGGGAAATGCAAACCGCGTTTCAGGAAGGAGCCCGTGCGCATTGTAGGTGTGAAGTATTACGCCACCGGTCAAGTAATTCCCTGGGACTATTGTGGAGGCCTGTACGCACGCCATCCGCTGCTGGTGAGATGGATACTTGTGGTGGAGGCTGACTTGCGGGTTCCGTCCACGAGGAAGCCTGGCCGCGCCCATCAGGAAAGCGCGTTACCTCAGGCAAGCAGCAGGAGGGTGCCAAAGCATTTTGATGACTGCGCCACTGTAAAGAAATGAGACAAGGAAGCATCGCCCATGCTGCAGGCCGGCTATTTTTTTTACTTTGTTCTTCTCTTACTCTAGACGAGTATGCGCTTGTGTCAGAGCACCAATGACACTGTCATACCATATATATATATATATATATATATATATATATATATATATATGGAAGAAGTGTACAATTATGGGCTCATTTTTTTGGTGTTCTAACAAAGCATTGTTGAAAGCTAACAGACAATAATGCCTAATGCCAAGGAAAGGAAATAAAGGGGAGGTTTTTAGACCGAATTGTGAGGTAAATTTGAAGAAAGAAAAGGGAAGGAAAAGATAACTTGCCGTGGGCAAGAACCGGGTCCTGCCCACGGCAAGGTATATATATACATATACAAGCCTTAATGTAGGATTTTTAGGGGGAAAATCACTAAGAAAAGTTGCTAGCTTCGGAGCTGGGCGGAGAAGCACCGCCTGAAAAAGACCGAAGCGGTCTCGAAACGCAGGGTCAGTTTTTATTATACTATGCGCTAAATGCACGTACACAGTCCGCTTATTCGTATAATTTTACTTAGCCAGACAAGTCTGCAATCGTGTTCACTTTTAAGAAAATATCTTGATTGATATGTTGGGTTTAATGTCCCAAAACGACCATATTATTATGAGACTCCCCGTAGTGGAGGGCTCCGCAATTTTCGACCACATGAGGTTCATTATTATGCACCTGAATCTGAGCACACGGGCCTGCAGTATTTTCGCCTTCTTCGAAAATGCAGGCACCGCCGTCGAAATTTAATCCCACGACCTGCGGGTCATCAAACAAGTACCTTAGCCACTAGACCACCGTGTCGGGGCAAAGTGGTTAAACGTAGGAACTTTCAACTATGCGTGTTAATGTAATATATCCTACCGTTCTTATGTGTGTTTCAAGATGGTACTGCGCCCTTTGATGACGCTTGTTTTTGTCAAATAAACCGCGAAACAGTCAGTGATGCTACGTCAATTTTATTGTTGCTCTTTTAGGCACTCATAGAAAAACTAGTTCTTTTATATGTGCTACTTTTGTGGTCTATCATTTCGCAGGAGAGCTGCGTGGGCAGATCGTCGACAGTGACAGCACACATGTTCTTACAGACGTTGAACTGGCCGAAAAAGTGACGAAAGCAATTTTGTATCTTGATCTCAAGGTACGTGAATTGAACAAGCATATACTTTTTGAGAGAATATGAACGCTTATTTGAATTGAATAAATCTTCGCTCTCAGATAAACTATTCACTCTGAGCGAACAGTTTCGAGACTAAGACGTTGGCATCAAATGGTTAATAGATGGAGTGTAGGTGCTTCTAGCTATGGCTTTTTGGGTGCATCAGGCCCCGTAGTGATAGATATATTAATTGCGTACGATAGTTTTCAATGTAAAAGGTTATATTTTAGTGGTTTGTTTATTTTATTCATTCTTAAAATACTCTTATGAACGAGCAATTTTCAGCGCAAAGCAGCCTTAAATATTGTCGTTTTATTAAATGTCGATTTTCCATTACTTAATAATAGGACTCCTAATTCGAAGCTGATCAAGAGATCACTAAATTATGCTTGAATTTTCAGCCACCTTTCTTAGCTCATTTCATATGCCACGTAACTTCGATTGAAGGTGCATGACTATGTCGAAGCAAATTAAGCAGGTATGATAGAGCAGGTGGTACATGTCAGATTCAACGCAATATTTTAGAAGCCAAGTGTGCACATATATGCAAGTGTGTACATGATATTTCACATGCCCACCAAGAATGCCACTGGGTACCACGTGATATCCTCCTCTGTAAAGGCTTCACCAGGGTGGAGGAGTGCTTGCTTCTCCACTTCTTCACCAATACAGTACTGTGCCCGGGAGTACTGAAGCATTTCTATTCGGCCTTCTCGGGCGCGTGCTGCACTGTGCGGAGAAGTCTTGTGACACATATCAAGTATTGTGGACATGCCCCTCAAATTCCATCTACCCTCCACTTCACCCTACGCGAGTGAACTGCGAAGCTGTGCTGATCAGCTTCTCTGACTTCCAAGCCCAACAGGCGTTAGGGGTTAGAGCCCAAGGCGCCACGGCAGCTGTAAGGATACCGGACTGGGGATCCCTTCTAGGGTTTATCAAAGGCGGGCCCTTTAGACTCGCCTTATTCATACCTCTCACTGTAAATATATCAACAAATGTTTTTCACCACCACCACTCATCGATGGTTATTAAAATGGGTTGGTGAGGTCATCTGCCATAAAAAACCTTATCATGTAGCCCTTCGCAAAAACCTCATGCAGTTATTAGGGGCTAAGCTTCTTAAGGCGTGGCTCTGTCAATGCTCCGTCGCTGCCCTACGTAGCGACCGGGATGGAAGATGGCGGTACTTAGTGTTCGTTACATGAACGCATGAATGAATGCATGAACAGATGAACAGACAGACTAGCAGATAGACAGACCAATGGACGGACGCGTGGAGTGGGTATGTGTCACAGGGGAAGCAAAATGGCGGTACTTGGAGTGTTACTTAGATGGACGCGCGGACAGAGGGACAAACGCAATGGATGGACGCACAGATGGTCGCGCGGACGTACGGAAGCAAGAACGAATGGACGGACGGAAGCATTGATGGGCTGACGGACGCTTCGCCCCACTCATCATCATTCACTCCGTGAATATGCTGCGATATTTTTTCTCGTATATCTCTTCGGTACTTGGGATAGAGGGAGCCAGCGGACACTCGATTTGAAAGAATCTAAGAGCTTCATCAACATGTTGTCGTGAATCGCAGCATGACTGATCGCACGGCAACGCTGTTGATAACGGAAAAAGGAGAGGGAGAGGTGAAGAAAAGCTGTAGTTTACATCAGCTGAACCGGCCCACGTGTAATGACTGCTTAGATCCTGCTGGTTCGATAAAGGCCGACCAAGTTCAAAAGAGTCGTTAAATTGAAGAAAGTTGGATAAATCGAATATTCAAAATCTACACGCGTGCATGTTTATCGAATAATTTTTTTGTATTTATGCGAAGGCACAGAGCACTATTGATGATGTAGGACACATCCATGACGAATGCAGCATTCGCCCTCTGTATTCCCGCTCAAAAGCACGCCAAAAAAAAAAAGTCGCATAAAGTTGTACATGCCAGCGGATGCCGCTAAGTGACTAAATAAGGTGATGCAACAGTGCCGCTAGGTCCAATCACACCTTGGCAGAAGCGTGACGTCGTGCCTCTGAAGCATCAGCGAAAATTCTTTACCCCTCCAACTTCTCTAGAAAACGTTCCACTAAGGCATTTATTTCTCTGCATCGACGCTCACAGCGGCATGACAAAATTGCCTGCAGGTATAAATGTAGCTAGCATTTCTGTAAAGCAGGGCCTATAATTAGACAGCTCATAGCTATAAATAGGTGGCTGTGAGGCGAAAGAATTGCGCAAGTTTACTGCGATACCGACTGACTCTGCGGGCTGGCTCTCTACACTCAGTTACTGTTAATGGCTAGTGGTTATCTTATCTTGACTTACATGCCGTGTCAATGCCATATCTTCGTCTAAATTTTGACTGTTATGTCCTTAACACATCAGTGTTCTCTGGCCCACTTTGTTATCTCCTTTCGCATTCAACGTTACACTTTAAATTTTCCTTTCAATGACTTCCCATTTTCCGTTCCGCCCGCCCTGATACGGTGGAGTAGTGGCTAAGGTTTTCAGCGGCAGACCGGCTGCCGAAGCAGGATTGAATTCCGGCTGCGGCGGCTGCATTCTTGATGGAGGCGAAAATGCTGCGGGGCCATGGGCTCATCTTTGGGTGCACGGTAAAGAACCCCAGTTGGTCGATATTTCCAAAGCCCACCCCTACGGCGTCTCTCATAACCGTATAGTGGTTTTGGGATGTTAATCCTCGAATATCTAGCTAAATTTCCGCCACGTTTCTGCTCCGTAGGTAAGGACCCGTGAGATGCAGCTGCAAAATTCAGCTAATTCACTTGAGGATAGTAGTTAACTGCAAATCTTCATTCGAAAATGCCCGCCAAAAGCGCCATACCCCATTATTTAGTACTGTTTGTATGCTCTACAAAAACACGATCTTGTTCAGGGTCTATTAGCAATGGGTCCTGTGTCTGGTTTCACGGATGCCGCATCATTCAAGTACCTGGACCAGTCCTTCTTCAGAGAGTGCCCCGTCGGAGACCCGAGGGAAGCAGTCTTCGTTGTTGTCTACACGTCGGGCACCACGGGACTTCCGAAGGGCGTCGAGCTCACTCACCATAGCTTCGTAGCCAACTTCTGCATATCAAAGTACGTAGTCTTATGAGTGAATGTCTAACGATAAGCTTGTACCGCCGTTACATTTGTGTGACCGCATAAAGTTTCGCATATGGTAAAGAGCCGAGAAGCCATGCTAGTACACTCTTGAAGAATGCAGTTGGGCAGAGAGAATAACGTCAAAAATGGCGTGAACTGTACAGTGCGCATGGCGGATGAGCTTAGTTTTTTTCAGACACGCAAACTGACGACAATAAAGAGGGCGAATGAGCATGCTTCATCGTATAACCCCAATATAGTGCACTTCATGTGCTTGCGCTTGGCGCTTTCCTTGATAATACGCTTGGCGCACATGAGCTAGCGTATGCACGACAACAACACTGCAGTCGATATTGCAAGAAAGCATACAGTCATTATGAATGTCTTGGAAGCTTCAGACGATTGTTTTTGTTGGTCATCTCGTTTCGTTGCTGCAATTGGTTGGCTTGCACCTTTGTGAAAAAAAATCACATTAGCTGCGACCAAGGTTTGTCATGTTGTCACCTAGACTTACGACATTCCAGCAGAAGCTATTACTGCACTTTCCCCATACTTTCGTCAGTGGAGACGTAGACCTTCAAATAGTTTCTTCTAAGGGAGACACGTTCAAGATTACTCTTATCTCTGAAACAGCCAGAAAATGCCATGGGATCTACAGCGATGTTCACGTTCTTCCAAAATAGGAACGAAAGCTCGTTTCTAATTTCTTCGTAATGTTGAACTGAACTCACTGAGCAGGTTCTTTTATTAGGAAATGAACGCGTTCCTGTTACATTTCAAACATTGAAACGTGTCGCTGCAATAATGTTATATTTGCATTTTTTATCCTCTTGTGGATTACCCTGAGCTGTACTAAGGATACAAACCGCAAACCCACATCGAAATACGGATGTTATAGGAACGTGAACATCAGCAATAAGAATTGCCTGTTCGTGCGGCCACCTTACGTGTCGATGACCCTGGTTGTGCTAAAGTTGATGCGATGGTCCATCTCTTTCCTATGTTCGCCGAGAGCGTTTCGCGCAGAGTTGAAGCTACTTACGTCATTTCTCCTGTAGGGCAGTTAACCCCTTAACTGCTTCGGACGAACAGAGCTCGTCCTGCCTCAACTGTCACCAAACTTTTTTGGACGAATAGAACTTGTCCAAGCGGAATAAGTACTCCTTTCTAGTGTTTCAGGCGGAGAGCGCGCACATACGACTCACATTGCGTGTCATCTTCCAGATGGCAGCATTTTAGCGAGGATTTCTTTTTACCGTGTGGCATGAGCGTAGTTTTCGTATGAAAAAACGGCGTGCTGTGGCGGTGACCCATGCATAGCAGGCACATGAACTCGAAAGAAACGCTATTTTTTGTCATCTTTTTGTGATGATGATTACAGTACAGATATTTATCGTGTGCCAACTAATAAAGACAGTAATTACGGTGAATTGAGCAGTTGCTCCGGTGAATCATAAAGACGGCTAGGACAAAAACGCGGCAAGTGGCCGCCAGTTAAGCCGCCTTGCGTCTACTACCCTTTGAATATTGTCCACGTAGCCCCGAAGCTCCTCGAGTGAAATACCCCAAGGGTTCTTAGCCTACAGAAGTGAAAAAAAGATGTGGCGTCTGTAACTCTTTGGCTGATAAGGTTTTAAAATTTCATTTGCAGCAATTAGCTGGTTTTCTATGTATTGTCCAGAAATAATATTTAGTCATATATATTCACTGAGCATGTGGTGAAAATATTTTTCAACATTGACTAGCTGCTTTTTAGTGCAATCAGATTCTAAATTAGAAATAAAATTAGGCGCTTTTTAATGAAAATTTTTATAAGAACGAGCAGTTGAGGAGTAACGCAATAATGATTTCCGAAAACACGTTAACAGCGGCGGAGGCAGCTCGATCAGCAGATCGTGTGAGCCTGATCCGCATAAGCGATTGTTACAAAATATGTGTACTGCATGTCTTTGAAATCTAATTAAAAAAGGCATGCGCGTTGAGGAACACTATCTGACATGTGGCTGCGCCTCGAGTCTGCTGATAGAGTCAAGCTCGAATCATTTTCTCTCGTATAATTTCAGCTAGGATGAACAAGCGCGACGGCCAAACATAACAAACCTTCTTTCTCAGGCCTTGTATGTCATCAGATGAAACGGATACTATGCTCGCTTCGGCTCCTATCGGCCACCTGTCTGGACTGGTGCTCGGATTGATGGCTGTTCTCGATGGATCGGTCTGCGTCCTTGCGCAGCCAGGCCTCAGCCTTCAAGAAATCACTGAACTTGCTGATGAACACAATGTAAGTTATTCGTTAAGCATTTGAGCATGATTCTTTATTCCGGACATGCGAAAGCATATACATGGCTCAGATGAGAAAAAAGCCGCTCAATAATGGCTTGACGATTGCAAGAAAAAAATTTCGCATATCTCACGCACCTTGCAAATCGACGTTATGCTATGCCTGCCGATATGAGGACGTTAGATACACGCACTACCAGCATGAAGTAAAGTAGACTGAAACGTTTCATTAGCCCGTGTTGGTGGTTACGTGTGCACACATAACGAATACGTATGCATCTCTGACGTATCTGTGGCGTCAATGTGTCGATGGGTCACTGTGAAATGTGAGCACCAGGAGCAGAAGTATAGTTGTTTCTGCGACCGTCCGTTAATGGAGTGATGAGGGGTCCCTGTACACTAAAGAACTAGGTAATTTAAATTGACACCTCTTATAAAGAAGTTGTCTATGACATATGCGTTCCTCGTAGTGGTCACGAAATTTTCAAAGGCTATGTCTACATAGACAACGTCTTACATTAATTGTGTGAATCAGGTCAGGTTGTGGTTTAAAATATCCACAATAACGATGTCAGCGACAATGAGAAGTGGTACGCTTATATGCCTTGCTTGTGCAAGCAAGTATGGCGGCCCTCCATGGATGCTGCTATAAAAAAAAGCTTTAGTGGATGGCGCTTTACTGCAATTGCCGTTACAGGTCGAGGGATCAAATCTTGACTGCGGCGACTACATTTTCGATGGAGGCGAAATTGTTGTGAGCCCGTGTGCTCCTATGGGTGCCCGTTAAAGAGCCCCAGGTGGTAGAAATTTCCGGAGCCTTTCACTACGGCGTCTCTTAAGCATGAGGTGGTTTCGAAATATAAATCCTACTTATCAATCAGTCATACGATTGCTGTTATCTCAACGTGACGGGTGTATGATAAAAATACATATGTACTGTTTATAAGATTGCATAGCTAGGACTGCAACCATAGTTAACGTTTTACGAACATTGCGGTATAATTGACAACCAATTCCGAGAACTACGACATATACTACGATTAGACTATTTTTTGAAGGCTGTAGTCCGTATACCCTGTGTATAAACTTGCATCGATTTACATGAATGCGGTATTTTTTGCTGGTTAGATGTAACAGCGGTTTTATTATGTTAAAATTTCTGAATATTCGTTCGAAATGAGGTGGTGTAGCATTTCAGGCATATATCTTGAAACAATTTGCCGTACTATTCAAAATTAGTTGAAGTAGTGTTCGATAAGTATTTGTAATCGATTCGGCTTAATGACTATTCACTTCAGTTCTAAATTGCACTCTTCGCACATCACTTAGTAGAGGTGGCAGACATTTTCGGTGTCTCTCATAATCATATCGCAATTTTGGGACATTAAAGTCTAACAAATATTATTATTTTAACTAATGCTTTGTACAATTTCTATTATACTATCTTCAGCCATTTAAATATGATACAATTGTATTAGGCCGTTGTCGAAAGAAAACATTCGCTAGATAAAGGAGACGAGATTACGACGTCTCTACACTGTAATATGAAATACGTATTCACGCGATAGATGATGAAAAATTCCATGAGTCGATATAGCTTTGCCTGCTTTTGTATATCGCCCATCAGTAAGAACCTTACTGATCACCTCATGATCATCACCTCTACGGTGGTGTTAGTGGTAAACATTTCATCCCCTTTGAAGAAAGTCTTTGTGTCGCATTACCGTCACTGCATCACTCTTCCATGCAGATTACGTCTATGTTCTCATTTCCGACGCGACTTCAGACTTTAGCAGAAGAGATGCTCCGTGACGGAAAAGCAGATCAGGAAGCATTCGTCGCATCGGCGTGGCCGGTGGTGTACTTTCACAAGCACGTATGATGCGGCCTTCAAGGCATTCGAGAATCTCGACAGCTTGGTCATCATGTACACTATGACGGAGAGCGGTGGCATCGTCCTGTTCAACTTCTCTGCACGAGGCGATAGGAATTGGCATGGGATGCCAGCGGACACTCAATTCGAAAGAGTCCAAGAGCTTCATCAGCATGTTGTCGTGAATTGCAGCATGACTGATCGCACAGCAACGCTGTTGATAACGGAAAAAGGAGAGGGAGAGGTGAAGAAAATCTGTACTTTACATCAGCTGAACCGGCCACGTGTAATGACTGCTTAGATCCTGCTGGTTCGATAAAGGCCGACCAAGTTCAAAAGGGTCGTTAAATTGAAGAACGTGGGATAAATCGAATATTCAAAATCTACACGCGTGCATGTTTATCGAATAATTTTTTTTGTATTATGCGAAGGCACAGAGCACTATAGATGATGTAGGACACATCCATGACGAATGCAGCATTCACCCTCTGTATTCCCGCTCAAAAGCACGCCAAAAAAAAGTCGCATAAAGTTGTACATGCCAGCGGATGCCGCTAAGTGACTAAATAAGGTGACGCAACAGTGCCGCAAGGTCCAATCAAACCTTGGCAGAAGCGTGACGTCGTGCCTCTGAAGCATCAGCGAAAATGCTTTGCCCCTCCAACTTTTCTAGAAAACGTTCCACTAAGGCGTTTATTTCTCTGCATCGACGCTCACAGTGGCGTGACAAAATTGCCTGCAGGTATAAACGTAGCTAGCGTTTCTGTAAAGCAGGGCCTATAATTAGACAGCTCATAGCTATAATAGGTGGCTGTGAGGCGAAAGAATTGCGCATGTTTACTGCGATACCGACTGACTCTGCGGCCTGGCTCCCCTCACTCAGTTACTGTTAATGGCTTGTGGTTATATATCTTGACTTGCATGCCGTGTCAATGCAATGTCTTTGTCTAAATTTTGACTGTTATGTCTTTAACAGTAATTTGTTCCCTGGTCCACTTTGTTATCTCCTTTCGCATATAACGTTACACTTTAAATTTTCTTTTCAATGACTTCCCATTTTCGGCCCGCCCTGATACGGTGAAGTAGTGGCTAAGGTTTTCAGCGGCAGACCGCCTGCGGAAGCAGGATTGAATTCCGGCTGCGGCGGCTGCATTCTTGATGGCGGCGAAAATGCTGCGGGGCCATGGGCTCGTGTTTGGGTGCACGGTAAAGAACCCAGTTGGTTGATATTTCCAAACGCCACCCCTACGGCGTCTCTCATAATCATATAGTGGTTTTGGGGCGTTATTCCTCGAGTATCTAAATTTCCGCCACGTTTCTGCTCCGTATGTAAAGACCCGTAAGATGCAGCGGCAAAATTCAGCTAATTCCCTTGAGGGATAGAAGTTAACTGCAAATCTTGATTCGAAAATGCCCGCCTAAAGCGCCATACCCTATTACTTAGTACTGTTTGTATGCTCTACAAGAACACAATCTTGTCCAGGGTCAGTTAGCAATGGGTCCTGTGTCTGGTTTCGTGGATGCCGCATCATTCAAGCACCTGGACCAGTCCGCCTTCAGAGAGTGCCCTGTCGGAGATCCGCGAGAAGCCGTCTTCGTTGTTGTCTACACGTCGGGAACCATGGGACTTCCGAAGGGCGTCGAGCTCACTCACCATAGCTTCGTTGCCAACTTCTGCATATCGAAGTACGTAGTCTTATGAGTGAATGTCGAACGATAAGCTTGTATCGCCGTTACATTTGTGTGACCGCATAAAGTTTCGCAAATGGTAAAGAACCGAGAAGCAATGCTAGTACACTCTTGGAGAATGCAGTGTGGCAGAGAGAATAACGTCAAAAATGGCGTGAACTGTACAGTGCGCATGGCGGATGAGCTTAGTTTTTTTTTAGACACGCAAACTGACGACAATAAAGAGGGCGAATGAGCATGCTTCATCGTATAACCCCAATACAGTGCACTTCATGTGCTTGCGCTTGGCGCTTTCCTTGATAAGACGCTTGGCGCACATGAGCTAGCGTATGCACGACAACAACACTGCAGTCGATATTGCAAGAAAGAATACAGTCATTATGAATGTCTTGGAAGCTTCAGGCGATTGTTTTTGTTGGTCATCTCGTTTCGTTGCTGCAATTGGTTGGCTTGCACCTTTGTGAAAAAAAATCACATAAGCTGCGACCAAGGTTTGTCTTGTTGTCACCTAGACTTACGACATTCCAGCAGAAGCTATTACTGCACTTTTCCCATACTTTCGTCAGTAGAGAAGTAGACCTTCAAATAGTTTCTTCTAAGGGAGACACGTTCAAGATTACTCTTATCTCTGAAACAGCCAGAAAATGCCATGAGATCTACAGCGATGTTCACGTTCTTCAAAAATAGGAACGAAAGCTCTTCTTTAATTTCTTCGTAATGTTGAACTGAACTCACTGAGCAGGTTCCTTTATTAGGACATGAACGCGTTCCTGTTACATTTCAAACATTGAAACGTGTCGCTGCAATAATGTTATATTTGCATTTTTTTATCCTCTTGTGGATTACCCTGAGCTGTACTAAAGATACAAACCGCAAACCCACATTGAAATACGGATGTTATAGGAACGTGAACATCAGCAATAAGAATTGCCTTTTCGTGCGGCCACCTTACGTGTCGATGACCCTGGTTGTGCTAAAGTTGATGCGATGGTCCATCTCTTTCCTATATTCGCCGAGAGCGTTTCGCGCAGAGTTGAAGCTACTTATGTCATTTCTCCTGTAGGTCAGTTAACCCCTTAACTGCTTCGGACAAACAGAGCTCGTCCTGCCTCAACTGTCACCAAACGTTTTTGGACAAATAGAACTTGTCCAAGCGGAATAAGTACTCCTTTCTAGTTTTCAGGCGGAGAGCGCGCACATACGACTCACATTGCGTGTCATCTTCCAGATGGCAGCGTTTTAGCGAGGATTTCTTTTTACCGTTTGGCATGAGCGTGATTTTCGTATGAAAAAACGGCGTGCAGTGGCGGTGACCCATGCATAGCAGGCACATGAATACGAAAAAAACGCTATTCATTTTTGTCATCTTCTTTTTTTGATGATGATTACAGTACAGATATTTATCGTGTGCCAACTAATACAGACAGTGATTACGGTGAATTGAGCAATTGCTCCGGTGATCATAAAGACTGCTAGGACAAAAACGCGGCAAGTGGCCGCCAGTTAAGCCGCCTTGCGTTACTACCCTTTGGAAATTGTCCACGTAGCCCCGAAGCTCCTCGAGTGAAATACCCCAAGGGTTCTTAGCCTACCGATGATAACATTTTGTGCATTGTTTTTGTTTAAACGGCACGTTGATTGCCAATCTGTAAACATTGTTAGTTAGCTGTCATCCTGTGTGTATTGTTTTCGTGTATTTTTTGTGCGTGAGCAGAACGCTGCACGTTTCAATGTGCTTGCCGTTCTCAATGTTTCATTCCAAGTTTTTGATGTCGCATTCATTGCATCGCCCTTGCGTTGAAACTGTCACTTTTTCTTGCTTGAGCAAAACAAGGTACTCCTGCATGGATGGATGGATGGATGGATGAATGAATAAACTTTATTGAGACTTTCGGAACGCGCTTCATCTCGTAGCGGGCCGTTTTCACGTCGAAACAGAAAGACAAAGTCTTTCTACTGCGTCGCATCTGAAGAAAAAAAAAGTGGGATTACACTAGTCTTTCCACAGGACCAAAATAAAGTTCTTTTCCTGCTTCCTTCCTCGCACTCGTTGTGCAAGGCGCCCGCAGGGGTGTCTGCTCAAGCAGGTGTTTTGTGAGTGGTGTTACCACGGACCTGAGCCTATGGGCGGGGGGGGAAGGGGGGAATCAACTTTTTTTTCACTCTTAGCCGTGCATGGCATTGCCATATCTGGGGAAAGTAAATGTGGGGGTAGTGTGACTTACTCTGGGTGATTGGATTTCTAAGGCCTCCTGGCAAATGCAAGGTACCCCTTTAGCACCGGCTTGGCGTCTTTTTCGATCTTTCTCTAAATATCTATTTTTCTTTCTCCTTTCAATTATACCTTTTTCTGTATTGTCTTCTCTTCCATTTATTGCCTTGTTTCCTGGTGGCAAGTGATATCTTTTGACGTTTTAAGTCAGATTTGGTTATAGTAATGGCGTGCTGCAGGCTTTGTGCAGACCTGCTCACATGTTCTGTCACGTTGTAGGCGCGGTTGCCGAACGAACAACCTTTTTCGTGGAATCAAACTAATTACCCACGAATCGCCCCACAAAGAAGTGGCGTACAGATGCAAGTACACATCCCCCCCACAAAGAAAAATAAACATGACTCAGTCTCCAAGTACCACATTAGTCATTGTGCGTATCCTGACAAGAATGCTCGAAACATATCACCACTCCTTGCACCCAGGCACCTCACTGAGACAATCGGAAATAGCTACAAGGCCACGAAGATGGCCATTGGGTACTTTCTGGTGGAGGTCAAGAGCGAGACTCCGTATGAGAAGTTCACTGACCTTGTAGCGTTTGAGGAGAAGCCAATAACCCTCGCCGCTGACCGAGCCATGAACACCGTCGAATAATTCTTGTCAGACGACAGCTTAGTAGATCTTTCGGATGAGGCACTTCTAGGTAGTGGATATGCTGAATGAACGACCACGTGATATATAAACAATGATTTTTCGTATAGTTCAATTCAGTATATTATGGAATGATATTGGCGTAGACAACAATGCAATGTTTTTTTTCACGTCGTCTTAGTTTCAGTGTTTCGGAGTTATGTCTTTCGATTATGAGTAACACCAATGTTTTCCAGATGATAACTCAGCTCGACAATATAAAGTTTCATTTTAAAGCTTCCTGTTAACAGTTATCTGCCGTTGTATAGGCCTGATTGTGTGTGGTTTGTAACGGATACAATTTTTTAATGAACAAATTTTGACCAAGAAAACATTTTTTTTCGACAGTTTGGGAACATCAGTTTCTATTTGAGGTATATTTCTGAAAGTGACGGTGATAACCAACTTGCAGGCATGTCCACTATCGGGAAATATTCATAAATAACAGCGCCCAGATTAGAAGAAAACCCCTGGCACACGCAGGTAGTGGACCCTGTGAGTAGAGTCAAGCTGGGTCCAAATGAGCCAGGCGAAATCTGCTTCCGTATACCGACAGTGATGCGTGGCTATTACAAGCGACCAAAAGAGACAGCGGAATTCTTTGAAGGAAATGGCTGGTGCCGATCAGGTGAGTGGCAGTTTCAGGCACATTAAAGAGACAGTAAACATAAGCAATAACTTGGTATAGATTTATGAACTGTTAATAGTGATAAACTGCAATTGATGAATATATGTCACTATCAAAAGTTCGTTATCAGCGGAAAAAAGCTCCGTGTGTGACATCAGAAATTTCAGAATGCATTTTTCGCATTTTCGTGACACTGGCGTGACAAAGTTGGCTGAAATTTCTTGTGCCAGGTGATTGACACCCACAGATGGCTACGTACTTCATTTTTAGCTATAAGAATCTGCGTAGGAACCAATATAAACTCCTTAAAAGTCTATGACATTGTGGTGTTCGGTGCGAGACCGAAATTCGAGACTCCACCCGCATTTTTTTTTTGCGCGTTTTCTGTAGGGAGCCTTCATGTGCGCGCGCCTCCGTGTTTTAGGGTGGTGACAACTTCGAACATGGTTGCTTACTCTGGCTAAACCGGCCGCGATACTTCACGGGCCGACATGTTGGTTCTCAGTGGTCGCTCATTTACATTAAAGGCAGCGTGGGTTTCAACAAGACGGGGGTAGGTTTTTTTCCCTATATAGCAAGTTCTGAAGGATAAAGGATTGTATTCTAATGTTAGCCGCTGTTTTGTAGAAGAGGAAAGACATGTTCGTGGCTCAAGTTTGTTTAAAATACTGTTAAAACAGGCCGTTTTTCCCACCTGTTAGACCCAGCGCATTGGCGGTGTGAGAATATTTAGGGAGCCTTTATTTGCGTACGGGAGAACCTCGATGCCAATGTGAACCTACTTCAATGTCTGCGCGGCATTCCTGAAGCAAGTTCACTTTAGCACTGCAGACATCTCAAAGTCCTCCTGATGCAAAGCTCGAAAGCGTGCTGTTTATATGATGGTACCCATAGCGATAGGGAAGGCAGATGAAACAACTGGGTAGCTCGCGTTGTTCTTTGTAAACCGCATAATTTCGCTAGCCTGTTTATCATACCTGAAATATTGATTTTGTCTGCAATATAATTTCATGC